TAAAAGTATAATTAAATCAAAGATAAATATATATACTTTTGCATTTTAATTTTCAAATATTAATTTTTTTATGAAATTAATTTTAATTAAAAAAATTAAAGTCATATATATATATATATATATTATTTTTAATTTATTAATATTATCAAATTTTAGCTTAATAATTAAAAAAATTACCAATAATTTAAATTTTAATATATCTATAATTTTATATAATTATTAATATAAATTTAATTCTTCTAATAATATTAACACATTTATTAAATTAAAATTCTTTACTTTAATTAATTATTTTAAATTTTTTTAACGATTTTTTTAAATAAAAACAATAAAACTTAAAATTAATTTCTAACTAAATCTTCACATATTTATGGTTAATACTATATTATATTATTATGTTTAATTAAATTTTAAAATAAGTTCACTTTATTTTTCCACTTTTATATAAAAATGACTAATATAAACTTAAAATCTATATCCAACTATTAAATTATCCAAGATATTAATATAAATTTAAAATATCAATTCATTAATTAAAATAATTTTAATTTTTTATAAATACATTGAAATACATTTTTATTAACATACAAGTAATATATATATATATATATATATATATATATATATATATATAAAAGAGACTAAATTAATAATTAATTTAATTATTGATTTAGTGACCAGATTCGATGATCGAATCAGTGATCGATTCAGTGATCGAATCGATGTGACCGATTCAAGTGATCGAATCAATGACCGATTCGGTGACTAATTTCATAATCAATTTTAATTTTTTTATTCACATGCTAAATTAAAAAATAAAATTAAATAATTATATTACTAAATTATTTAATAAGTTAGTAAACTATTTTTTAAAAATTTTTATAATGTTATTAACAATGTTATCACTTATTTTAAATTATTAAGTAGATTTATATTTAAAATATTTTAAATAAAATATTTATATAAATGAAAAATAGTTATCAATTTAAAAATTATTTTTTAGTGATCTGAAAATTTAGTCACTAAATCAGTTACTAAATATAAAAAAAATTCAGATCACTATTTTCGGTCACTATTAACATTTTTCTAGTAGTGATCGAATCGATGACTCGATTCGATGATCGAATCAATGATCGATATCTGTGACTGAAATTTTAGTCACTAAATCAGTCACTAAATATAAAAAGGAAAATCAGTCACTGATTCAGTTACTATCAGTGACTGAATTTTTCAGTCACTAATTTCGGTCACTATTTGGTGTTTTTCTAGTAGTGTGAAGTTCTCGAAAAATACAAAATCGAGAGTAAAGAAAGCTAATGCGAATATCGAAAATTTTGGCTAAACCTTAAAGAGAAGAACAAATCAAACGCACGGATAGAGAGCAGTTTCGAAACCATGGAAGAAATCAAAGATCGTGAGAACGTGGGAAACCGTAGAAGATAAAACCGCCATATGCACGTAGAACGTGGTAGCAGTCATGTTAACTGCTCTTGGAAAACTTGAACGATGCATTATAAATAGAGCAAAGAAGGAAGAAACAAGGGAGCAAAAATTGGCAGAGAACAGAATCAGTAGTGAAAAGTCTACCGGAAAAACGACGAGCACCATGAAGCTTACGGCATACTGGATTTCCTTGCTCACCGAGTACATTTACCGTTTTACGTATTTTCCTTGGTAATTTACTTTGATGCAACTTAAATTCAAGCAATTTTACGTTTCGTATTTTCGATTCTTAGTCATTTCGATTCACGCAAGTTAAGTTTGTATTTAAATTCCCTTGGTATTTTACATTAATGCAATTTCGATTTCCAGTCATTTCTTGCATTTTCGATTTTATCGTCTTTTACTTTTCTTGCAAATTCGATTTCTCAACATTTACATTGTTACTATTTTAATTTCCTTGTCATTTACGTTACCGCACATTTCGATTTTTGGGGTTATTTACTTTATGCAATTTCGATTTCTTGTCACTTATCTTACTTGCAAATCTCGATTTCTTGTCATTCATATTTACACTGTTTTCGATTTTTTGTCATTTACAATTAAGGCAAATTTGGGGTTTTTGCACTTTACATTTCCTTGCAATTTAACATTCAGTTTTTCGATTCGATACTTTTACTACTTTCGGCATTTTATATATAAAATACTAAAAAATAGCATTTCTATATTACTGTGACTTTCGATTCTCATACATAATTTCGATTGAAAGTCAAACTGCTAGCCTAAGTAAAAGAACTTACGTGGTAGAATTTTGATTAGGATCAAAATACATTTAGAATCGAAATCGATCGAAATTCCACCAGAAACAGTAAGTAAATATATATTCAATTTTAGTAATAATTTATATTCAATCAGTAGTGCTAATATATATAACTATGTAGGGCAATATGTTTATAAGTGGCACTTGAATTGATGAAAAGATTCTGAAGATGGTAACAATACATTTTAATCTTAAAAATATAAAAATTTGAGAAAATTCAAATTGTTAAATCAACTTAATTTTTAAAGGTCAAAGTGTTTTATTGTATATACGAATATATTACCAAAATCATTGACTATTTTTTTTTTTTTGTCAAATCTATCTTACTCGCTTCTTATCACTGTTTCTATTTTTTTAGACCTCTGAAACCCTTGAGTAAGTAGATGAACTTTCACTATACAATGCATACATTTTTCTCATAGTCCAATTGTTGATATAAATTTTGAAGATGTCTTTTTGTCTGATAGAAACTTCTCCACATCTATCCTATGTCCATGAGAATTAAAATACTCAATAACTTCGTTCATCTCAATATTGCCACTACCATTGATCATGTCTTCCTCTTATCAATTGTGATGACAATGTTGAGTATTTTAATTCGCATGACTATGGATAATTGTGGAGAAGCTTGATCGTAAAAAAAAAAAAAAAACATCTTCAAACTTAATATCAGTTGGATTATGAAAAAAATGTATTAAATGATGAAAATTCATCCGTTTCTTGAAAGTCTCGAAGGTCTATTCTAAGATCTTGAGAAAGAAGGTGAATGTTTACCATTTAATATATTTTTTTTATAAATCAAATATTAATATAAATTTTGAACATACTTTTTAAATGAAAGTATTTTCACTGCATTCATGTATGTAAGAATTAAAATACTCAATAACTTGATTCACCTCAGTTCCTATGGTTCGGGTAGAAGAGATAAAAGACAATATTTGGCCAAAATGTAACAGGCGTCTAAAACAAAGTTCGAGAATTAGTTTCTTCGTTCGTTGAAGACGTCCGGCGCGGTGCAGTGCTGTCTTTTTCAAACGGCTGATTTTAGAGTCGAGGTTACAAGGACAGAAATCTTGAATGGCATAAAGTTTTGGTGAATTGAAATAATATCTCATTTTCTTTGTATTTTTTTAATTTAGGTTTCCATGAACATTTGGAATATGATGAGAGTAAAATACCATCTGATAAAACTATAACGTGGAATCACCACCATTTTTTAACTTTGTGTTTTACTTCTTTTGAAAAAAAAAGTAAAAAATATTTTTTAAATGATATTCAATATCACCTTTTTATGACTCTACCAATCGAGTCATCTTTTTCAATGAAATACATGATGAGATCTTTTATAATTGAAACTCATACTGATATTTAAAATGTTGTTGAATATTTTGAGAGAGGTTGATTGAGAGAACAACATTAATAAGATATAAATTCAACGTATATAAGGGATTTATATCACTCTCAACTAAAAATTTTTAAAATATTGGATAATGAATCATATTTATTTATATTTTATTTAATATTCTCATTTTTAACGTGGGACTTAACTCATACTTAAATACTCAATATGTTATATGAAGTTAACTCATACGATACAACTAAAAAAAACAAATTTTATATGATTATGATTATTTTTATTATGAATTTAAATTTAGATCATGTTAAATATTAAATTTTAACATGTCATGAATTTTCATTCATAAAAAACTTGACAACACGATGTTCCATGCTTTAACTCCTAATAATACAGATGTTTAAGGATATGTTAAATCATCATTCGATATTTGCTTGTGAAAGAAGAGATTGTAACACTGGATAAATGTGTGGTGGTAAGGGATGTCGTCAATGCATTGCATATACTATAAAAGAAATAAATATTAATATTTAAGGTTGAAATCCAATCACCTAACACAATATTAACCATGTACAAATTCCAACTTGCCAACAATATTGCATTTCACAAAAAGTCAAGATTCATGAATAATTAACTTAAGTCAAGATTCATGAATAATTAACTTAGATACTTCTAAATCTCATACCTGAAAGAACATTTACACAATTATTTTTAAATTAAGAATTTTGACAGTTTCAAATATTTTTTGATATTGAAGTAACCCAATACTTTTATTGTTATTTCTTAAAGGAAATATGATATAGATATTCTTAAAGAGACAAGAGTGATTAATTATAAACAAGTAAATAGTTTTATGAATTTAAATAAAAAATTAATAGCAAAACAAGATAATTTTTTTTATCCAAAAAAATATAAAAGACAGGTTCAAAATATTAGCCAATTCATGCACGTTCCTTCTTTATAATTGAAATGTTATCATCTGTATTCTAGTATATCTCATAAAAGCTCTAGGACCATGTCTGTTATCATCGTGATACTGATTAAGTAGATCTCCCATAAACATATGTTTTACTGTAAGATATTGTATGTTTATTGAAAGTAATATCATTTCATGAAAAAACAATATTATAAGATATTGTGTGTTCATTGAAGATAATATTATTTTAGGAAAAAAAAAGAAAAAAAAAGAAATACAATGTAGTTACATTGTACTATTTTTCATATTCAACGATCAATTCACTAAAAACAAATTATATGAACCCTGATATATAGGGCTTGAGTAGAAGCATGGTGGACAAAAGCCATGGTGGAATCGTGAAGGCACTCATAAAATGGCGGGCTAGCAGCATAGGTGCCGTTAAGAGGAAATCAGATAAAAGATAACATTTATTTGGCCAAAGAACGTAAGAGGCGTCTGAAAAGAGAAGACCGGGGATTGGTTTCTTCATTCGTTGGTGAAGACGCGCGGTGCTGTGCAGTCCTGTCTCTTTCAAACTGCTGATTCTACAGTCGAGGTTACATACTTTCTTATTTGGACATTCTTTATGAAAAAAGAATTAAAGATAGAATTGAAAAATATGAAATTATAGATGCAGGTCTATTACTCTATTTATAAATGCTTTTATCATAAAAAAATGGTTAAAGTGTTTTTGATACAGCAAAAGCAAAATATTATATAGCAATATGCTGCAATAAAAGGCACAAGAAGCATGTAACTCCGATGGTGGAGACGATGTCAAGTGTAAAGTAAATAATAGGAAGTGCCCTAGTCTAATACTAGAGGAAGAGGAAGTACAGAAGTATTCACCAGTCATGCCTTGTGGTATTTGCTGTTCTGAACGTGAGTTTTGCGTTTATTGTTGCTGCATTCTTTGTGGCAAAACTATTTGTACAGCATATGGTGTGGCTTTAGATATTTCAAGTGTCCAGTGAATGCTAACGGCGGAATTTGTGGCCACGTTGCTCATATGGAATGCGCTCTCGAATGTTTTTTGGCTGGTAAAGTTAGAAGTTTGGGGCGGGATGCCGAATACTATTGTCGACGCTGTGATGGGAGAAGTAACATGATATCTCATGTTTACAATCTCATTCAAACATAAAACACTATTGATTTGGATGGTGAAATTAAGAAGATTTTGTATATCGGTGCTTGTCTCATGCGGGCAAATAAGCTACTGCGGTGTATTGATTTAGTCGTCTCAAAGGTATTTTTAATGATATTCTAGTAATAGAAATTGAAACTACCTTGCTTGTTCTCTCTTGCTAATTGTTAATTGTGAGGGCTAATGACCAATTTGATGGTTTACTTCAGCTTATATCTGGAACTAATAATCCTGAAGACATCTGGAAGTTGATGCTCATTCTATGGGTAAATATCCTGAGCTATTATCTATACGGTCTATTTTTATTCATTTCGGCTGCAACTAATACAATAGCATTGCTTACATGCATATGGAGGTGCAAAAGTCTAGGGTCAGAATTTCTAAAAGACATTAGAAATAGAATGACCATTTATCATCTGAGACATTTGTGACAAATCCATTAGTGGATGCATTCAACTTAACATACTGAATATCTTTGTGTTTATTTATCAGATAATGACGATGTGATGTTGGCATCTCATATACCTATAAAACTTGAGATTGATAGAAGACATGAGCATCAAAGTAAGGTGGTTATAGAAACACTTCAAGCTCAAAAACCCATCTACAACATTTGTTTCGACAACTGGTCTATGAACAAGATACATTGGTTGGCCAAATGTCATCTGCTGCCTCAGAAGTCTCATATAGTGCTATAATAGAAAAAAAAAAGAAACAGATAATACGGGAGCTGGAAAAATTTGACACCATGAAGAAGGTGGCCATTGATGGTATCGGTAGATGCAGAGATATTTTAAAGGAACACTCTGGCCTTTGAGATATTTTAAATTGACAAATATTTGAGGTTGTAAACAATTTAAATTTTGTGATTTTCCTGGTTTTAGCATTAAACTGTATTCTTTGCTTTCATCATGGATATTTTGTCAAACAAAATCAGTGTGGCATTTGTCTGAGGCACTACATAATCTGATAAGTTATGTGGAAACATCTTTGCATGGTGCCAATTTCTGCATAGTTTGTTGTATTGGATTTTACCTCTTTTGTCAGTGTTCCTTGCTGGATTGTGTACTTATTTTATAAACTTGCGGATGGTTGTGTCGTCCCGTGCTCTAAAATAAAAGAGGTAACTTTTTGTGATTTTGTGTTTGTTTTATTGTTTTTAACACAGAATTTGGTGTAGAATCATTATACATGCTGAAGAAAGGGCCTTATCACTCCTGGAAGGTTGGTATATCTTGATAAGTAAAGAAAAAGTGAAGCCAAGCGAAAAGATTTTTAAAATAGATAAATAATAATATAAAAATTTCAAAGTAAATTATTTAAAAATAAAAAAATAAATTTCTTATAAATATCATTTTAGTAACAATTTTTTTTATAGATAATTATATTATAGTTATGTTTTTATGTTTAAAAAAAAAAATAAAAAAAATATATATATATATATATATATATTAATATCTTTTTTAGATATAATATAATGAGCGTATATATCAAATAGAATATTAAAAAATTTACAAAAAATTCATCTGGTTATATTTGAAGATATATAACATAAATATTTATTTTGGTTTATTTGTTATTAACAAACTAATTTAATTTTTATATTTTAAATAACATTAATAGATGAATTGAAGAATATAAATACGATTATTACGTAATGCATAATTTATAAGTATGTTGGATGGACATGGATATGACCAAATTCATTGTTGTATATCAACATACAACCATGATTATTTATAAAGATTCATTATTATATTATTATATGTTACATTTCATTAAAATAATTTTATAAATAACTGTAATTATATCTCTCGCATATAATGATTTCATTAATAACGAATCTGAAATCGGCATTGTATACCTTTTTAACAGTCAATAATTACTGTTATAATTAAATTAGACATACAAGAACTTAAGTTCAATCAAATAAATAAAGTAGTATCTTATTATAAAGAACATTCAATTGAGACAGAAAGATAAATTTTCATGTTGATGATCCAAACATCGTACTTTTCATGTTTTCCTTCAACTTTTCCTGTATATTTATTTTTCTTTTTAGGTTTTTGAACTAGTTACTACTGGTCGTGTAACAGCTCAACCTTTTCTAGTATTCTTCGATTGTCCCCGATTCCACTCTTTTGTCTTATCTCTCAATTGCAGTATGTACATTCTATTCTTTCCAATATTAAATGCATTGACAATGAAAATCTTAAGAGACACTCGTGCCATAGGGAATGTTTAGGTTTCATCAATTAGGAAAAGTCTGATATTGATGGACTTGTTTTAATTGTAAATTTTTTTCATGATTGGCAATTTTATGAATATATAGATAGGTCTTTTTATAATTGGAACGTTATTATTCGTGTTTAAAGATACCTAAAAAAACTCCAAGGTATGTTTTGCGAAGTCAAATGAAACAATCAAATGTTTAGGTGTAATGATAGTGATTAAGTAGGATCTCCCACCAATATATGTTCTATTATACTGTTCATTAAAATGATAATATTTCATAAAAAATAAAAAACAAAATGTAATTATTTGATCAAGTGTGAAGTTAAATATAAAGTTATAACATCTTTCACTTATAAAATTGTGTGGGTAAACGAGTTTCTCCAAAAACTTAAATTTTATGAAATAAATAAAAAAAATGACACGAGATAATCAAATAATTATTCGTATTACTTCCTAATAACTATTATAAAGAAAATTAGTGTAAGTCTATGTTAGAATAAATTTCTAAAATATAATTTTTTTTAATAACACAATTATATTACCACGTGAATGAATTGAAAATAAGAGTTATGAATATATAATATATGTGACACTATTTGAGTTCAAATGGACATAACAATCGATTTTTGAAGTTTTTTAGGTTAAAATACTTGCTTTTTATTACAAACAACTAATATTGTTCAGCACAGGAGCTACAATTATTGGATCCATTATGATGAGAGATCTCCTCAATCCAAAACATTTCAAGAACCAAAAAAGTCATAGATGCTAGAGACTGAGGATGCTTCATTATCAACTATGTTTGTGAATAATAGTGTTGCTTGACAGAGGCCAAAGGAAACTTGATAATCATAAAAGATTTACTCTTATCAGTCCTTTCACATTTCCCACTTCCACTGTTGGAGCAATAGCAGATAGTCAGTTTCTTACTGAACTCTTGGAAACATAAATCAGTTGTTAAGTGTCTGTGATCATAAAATATTACCAAAGCAATGTGTTTTTTTCTGAAGGGAAAAGTTCTAGCTACTTGGAACTGAACTTCTTTCAAATGTTAAGATGATTGATGAACCAAGTATTCTTCATGGATAGCCAATAATTGTTCTGCCACCTGTTTTGCATAGCCAAATTCAAATGATGCTAATGTAACAACACAAAATATATATTACCAATCCAGTTGTTAATACCCATAAATATTAGGGATGTGAGAAACTATGTTAGTTGGTTCAAAATGTAGAAGCTAGTTTTTAGGTTTATTATTATAAACATGGTGGGAGACTCTGAACCAAATATATGGAATCCAAAAGAGGAAAGATGTATACATATCACACCTGTTCAATACTCCCATCTTCTATCTCTGTGTTGAATGTAAGCAACATACTTTCATAGAGTAGGTTTTCTAAATCTTCAACAGGAATCAACGCTGAAATTTAGATGATAATGGTGAAATGTTAGATCAAAAGAGGAAACTGATGAAATGTGACTAAATGAATCAACCAACAATGGAAAGAAAAATTAGAAAGAATCAAATTGAAAAATAATATACACATACCATTGGATTTGGAGAACCAGGAGAATAAATCAGCAGCAAGTTGATGCGATTTCTGAAGAGAATCACAACCACCCCATTGATTCTCAATAGCCATTTGAAGGGCATACCAACGAGAAAGAAGCAAAATGATACTCTTTTGCAACAAAATCGTAGGGTTTGTTTCTTTTCTCTCGTATTGAGTCCTATTGATGGAATCCATTAGAAGCACCTCTGTGTGTTGGGAGAAAAATTTTGATACAACACACAGAGGTGAGTAATGAATGAAAATACATAGTTCTATTTATATGAATTTTTAGATGAGAAACACAGATGCGAAAAATGTTGAAAACGATGAGAATGATTAGTTGGAGAGAAAACTATAACTGTTTTCATCTTTCTATATAAAGCAAAATAGTTCAATGTTTTTTGTAGTTAGTTAGTTTATTAGAAATAAAATTTATTTATAATTATATCACATTAGGTCTAACCTGACCTTAATTTATTAAATTACCAAGGCCATTATTTAGCTAAAATGACATGTTTTAAATTCTTAAAAACATGTTATACTTACTAGCTTAATTTATTATAATGTAACTTAGATTTTAAAAAAATATATTTCAAAATACTCATTTAGATAATTAACATACTTCAGAATTTAATATAATACATATGAGACTGTGTTGATAAGCTTGATTCATTAGAATCCAATTTATAATTCAATTGTTAAATTATAACATTTTCGTTACGTGTAATAGTTCTGCATTTTTATGTAAAAAAATATAGAATTGTTCTTTTAACAGATTTAAATTTTATTGTAGTCATAATAGTTACATTGATAAAAAACAAATTTATTTATTAAATTTTAGTACCTCATCTTTGTCTCTTATTTCTTAATTATTCGTAATTTTAGTCCTTAATCTTATTAATTTGAGGATGTCTGTAAAAAATTGATTCCGTGGGGGCTGTGATAAGAAACAAAAGGTTTGAATCATGTAAAGTAAAAAGTAAAGAATAGGAACCGGTTTACCTATTTTTCTTTCTTTCTTACTTTTTGAAAAATATTCATTTTATCTAAAATTATTTTATTTCTCTTGATAAATATCGAAAAAAATCGTTCATTTCTTCTAATTTTTGCAAGGCATCAGACATTTCTAGAACTTTAATTTGTTTAGCATTGTTTGTTTGTAGTAGTTGAGACATAAAACAAAGTTAGGCAGAATACAACGACTGAATTTGCTGAAGAAAACTGTAGATGGTAATAGATACAGAAGAAGAGGAGAACGAACGTGGTTCATTCCTCAACAACACTTTTTCCAGCATTTTTACAAATAATCCAGATAGATGTCACCATACTCAATCTCAGTATCTGAGTCCCAATTCATAACCAAACCCAAATACATTACAAAGAAATGAGACAGAATCTTGGAATAGGAAACTAAAAAAGTCTGTTAAAATAATAAACCTATCTAAAATTTGGGGAAAATAATGGGAAGTCCAGAATAGAAAAGGAAACAATAGCAAGAATAAGCAATTTAGAGTAGTGTTGAAGGAAGAGGCTCAGATTTAGGTTTTGTCAGACAAAGAGGGGAGAAGAGCGTGATGCCGTGGCTGCGACCACAGCGTGGATCACCTCGCCATGACAGGACATGACACACCTCTTCTTCACTCAATGCCTGATTTAATTGCAGGAAACATCACTGCCTCGTTAAAGGAGAAGAAGAAGAAGAAGAAAAATAATGGAAGCATATCGTGATGTTGATGATGAGGATGAAGATGAAGATGAAGGACCAAAAGAGAAAGAGAGAGATGAAGAGAAGAGAAGAAGAGTTCATGTAGCGGATCATCGGCAATGGCAAGATCTGAGCGAGCGATGCATGCTATGCCTCACAGTTGAAGATTAGATTGCATGCAAGAAAAGAAAAGGGAGTAAGACTCAGAATAAGATAGATACTGTAACCATGGCTGCGTCAACAGAGACACCTCGCCAGGACACATCAACATCCATCACTGCCTCACTCAACAAATTGCCATCGAAGCCACCAGCAACCACTTCAAACACTCTCTGTCACTCATCTCGCCAGACCAGAGGAGAGGAGACGGTGGCAAGAGCAAAATGGGCGGTGGCGATAGCACCCTTCTTTCCCGCTGCAATGCAACACAGCACAGCACCATTTGTTAAGCCATGATCTCTTTACTCCTCACTGTCAATATATAGTGGCCCAATTCAACCCTCACACGTTATTACTTTGTGTTTTGGGCCTGGACCCTCTTTTCTAGTTAGCATATCTCAAACTTCTCTTTTTTTTTGTTTTTTTTTTTAATTGTACGAAGACAAAAAAATAGCATCACATTATAATAGTTTTGTTTTTTTTCAAATACCTTATTAAATCAAAGCTATTCATTTGAAAAGGAAAAATAATGCATGAATCCTATCAATAAAAGAGAAAAGAAAAAAAGGTTTAGTCAATAAATTACTCTCACCAAAATCCAATTCACAGGATTGCCCTTTGACATATTCAAGAAGATGGCAGTGGTGGACTAAGTTGTGGATTTGAATTAATGAGGATATTGGTTGGTGTGGGTGGTGGTGCATTACCATTCATATTCCACTAATTAGCAACATACTAAGGATCATACATAGTCAATAATAGACTTTGATTCTAGTGACGGATTCACAGAAGAACCAATGAGCAAGACACATATCTCTCTTAATTAACTGTTAGCATGAGGCGCACTTACCAGCCCACTGAGAGAGAAGAGAGTGTCAAGTCCTCCTGCCATGGTTGTTTTTCCACATTCAGCCTGTTTTGGGTTGAATGTTCTACATTGAATTATTGATACTATAATTTTTCCACAAAACAATTCATGTTTATTCCATTTGAGGATAATTTTATAAAAAATAATAATAAGATTAATAAAAAAATATGTGTAAGTTTGAACCTTTGTTCTATAATCACTAGTTAGCTATTAGTTGAGACATATTACATAATTTGACACCTAATTACAACTTCTTTAACCTGTCTCTGTTTTACACCTGTTTCTTAGTTACAAGTCTAAGCAAGTGACCTTGGCACATTAACACTTGACTTTGACCTCAATTTGGATTATCGAGTGTGTAATATTGGAGAAGTCATGTATATAATGGTTGCCCTATAGTAACCGAGACGCATCAACATATCATGCACTCTCTTCTCATTACCAATCCCATTTGCTAGCTGAACAACTATAGTCTATAAAGATGGATTTTGTAAGCTCTGCCTTGTTCGTGCTGTTGGCATGCACCACCATCCATGTCGCACTTTCATTCCTAGGAAGATGTAGAAAACCACACTACAAACTTCCACCAGGACCCTATCCTCTTCCCATCATAGGAAACCTTCTTGAACTGAGTAACAAGCCCCACCAATCATTGGCTAAGCTTGCCAAGATGCACGGCCCTCTAATGAGCCTAAAGATGGGCCAAATAACTACCATAGTGGTTTCTTCAGCTGAGATGGCCAAAGAGGTGCTCCTAACCCATGACCACTTATTGTCAAACCGAACCATTCCCCAATCTGTGTCAGTTCTGAACCACGAGAACTATAGCCTTGCCTTCATTCCCGTTTCCCCTCTTTGGCGAGACTTGAGGAAAATATGCAATGCCCAGTTGTTTGCACGCAACACTCTTGAAGCTAGCCAAGATGTTAGGCGCAACAAAGTGCAACAACTCCTCTCTGAAATCCACCAAAGCTGCCAAAACGGTGAAGCAGTGGATATTGGAACAGCAATCTTCAAGACTACCATCAACTTATTATCAAACACCATTTTCTCTGTGGATTTGGTTCAATCTGCTGGCACAGCTGGAGAGTTCAAGGAATTGGTCTCCAATATCACTGAACTGGTTGGAACACCAAACCTGGCCGATTATTTTCCTGTGTTGAAGATGGTTGATCCACAAGGCATAAAAAAACGTCAGGCTAAGAATGTTGCGAAGGTGTTGGACATTTTTTACCGTTTGGTTGACCAACGGTTGAAGCAAAGAGAAGGCCCGCATGCTGATGTTCACAACGACATGTTAGACGTTCTTCTCAACATCTCTCAGGAGAACAAGATGATGGACACAACAATGATTCAACATTTGTCACATGTATTAACCCTGCCCTTCATATAATTTTGCGGAATCCTTACATAGTCACATATACTATGACTTACTTTGAAATTTATGATTTTGTTTCACTAGGATCTGTTTGTTGCGGGAACTGATACGACGACGTCTACACTGGAATGGGCCATGAGTGAGCTAGTACGCAATCCAGAGACTATGTCAAAGGCAATAGAAGAGTTGGAGCTAATGATTGGCAGAGGTAACCCTGTTAAGGAATCAGACATTGCAAGACTTCCTTATTTGCAAGCTATAATAAGAGAGACATTTCGGTTGCATCCACCAGTTCCATTTTTACTACCTCGAAAAGCTGAGACAGATGTGAACATATGTGGCTTCACAATCCCAAAGGATGCACAAGTGCTGGTGAATGTGTGGACTATAGGAAGGGATTCGAGCATTTGGGACAATCCAAGTTCGTTTTATCCAGAGAGGTTTCTAGAAGCAGACATTGATGTTAAAGGGAGGAATTTTGAGCTGACACCCTTTGGTGGTGGGCGGCGAATATGTCCCGGCATGCTCCTGGCTACGAGGATGTTGTTGTTGATGTTGGGTTCGTTGATTAACTCCTTTGAGTGGAAACTTGAAGATGGCATGAAACTAGAAGATATGGACATGGATGAGAAATTTGGGATCACCTTACAAAAGGCTCAACCGTTACGAGTTGTTCCTGTCAAAATAAACAATTAATTTGAGGAATCTTGATCAGAATGAAAATGTTAATAATATTTAACCAATTATAGGTGTGGTGGGAGTGGTTAAATTTGCTCTTATGTATCTTTTTGAAAACTATTCTATGCCATTTGGCATTTTACACTCTGTAATGTATGAGATGGCCTAATGCAAAATATAATTAATAAAAAAAAAGTATTTGAGAACAGTTATGAAATTGAAAAACATCAAATTTTATAACGATTATGACATAGGAAGAAGGATAAAGAAAAAAAATTAGAAATTAATGAAGTATTTAAAAAAGGATATATATATATATATATATATATATATATATATATATATATATATATCGCTGTTCATAAATAAACATGACATAACTAAATAGCTTTTGAAATAGGTTTAAAATTAAATTTGAAAAGTTTGATTAGAATTTTTTTATTAAGTATTTTCTGTGCTTTATTCGTTTTTTCAAATTGAGCAGGAAATGGAGCATAAAATTATATTGGGCCTATCGATTTCATACTATTGTTATTCCTGTAAGTTGAAATCATAATTTTATGATTTAAGCCCGTTGAACTTAACACCGTTCTCAATCCTACATTGTGTGGGGTTTACATTTGTTTCAATTTACAGGCCCATGATGAGTCTTACCACAGAACCCGACCCATAAGAGAATTGGGTTATGGTTGACCCGAATAGAGAAGGCAGAAGAGAACATTAAGTGTCTCAGAGTAATATGTTATCCACAACACAACACAAAACACAACATCGTTGGTTTTTTCGTCTTAGTTAATGATGGCTGTCCACGCTTTCCACCACCTACGCTCACCGCTCGCATCATGCTCGCACTTTCCATCGTCCCCTCCCCACTCTCTCCGACTCACACTCACTGCTTCTGCGCTCTTCCAGTTCCGACCCCTCACTTCAATCAAAATCTCTCCGCTCCCGGAGAGGCGCCGGGTGCCGGTGGCTGGCGTGGTGGAGGAAAGCCAAGAGAGTTCGGAACCTGAACCCGAAGCCGAGTCAAAAGCGGAGTTGGCATCGGAACTGAAGAAGGCGATGGCGGAGAGGAAGGAGAAAGAAGAGGACAACTTGTTGAGCGGGGTGGCGCGTGAGATCGACGAGATTGAGTGGCCGGCGTTCGGGAAGGTGTTGGGTACCACCGGCGTTGTCCTCGGCGTCATCCTTGGTTCCAGCGTCGTTTTGCTCACTGTCAATGCCGTTTTAGCTGAGCTTTCTGACCGGGTTTTTGCTGGCAAAGGGATTCAGGATTTATTCACCTGACACCCGATGAAACGAAACCAAAATCGTGCAATTTTTGTCACTAACTTTTCACTTGCTACATGATGGACCTTCCCTGGGTGATTGACGTGCCATACCATGCCATCATCAATCAAATGTTGGTGTAATCCAAAACTGAATTTCACTCGTTTCATCTTGCCAATTCACCAAAGATGGTCCTCTTCCATTGCCAATTCCCTGTGATGTTTTGTCATTAAATTATATTTCTTTTTTTTTTTCTTTAGTACCACGTATCCAGGGCAGATCTTTGAACCGAGCCATGATACACTGATCTATATTATTTACTAGTACAGTTTTTCAGGTTAATTTACTTCTTCACTATTTTCTGTTTGTAGAATACTATGCTTCTAATAAGCCAGAGACACAAGTTGATTGAAGCTGCGTTTTATTAGGATTTTATAGTGAATTTTTCTAAAATTTATACCATTATTAAATATTTTGACACCCAACTTTTCCCATAACATGTTCTCGGAGGCCAGGTCAATTTTTTTCCCATAACTAATTTGAGCCTCTTGGAGCAAGTTTTAATTTATTTTAGAAACGAAAACGGTACTGTAAAAGTCTAATGTTAAAGCCTGTGTAAGGTTTACAAGAAAATTCAGAAGAGAAGGAGGTGAAAGCCTCGAACGGAAATTCAGGGCTCAACAGTCATGCTTTCAGCGTGGCGTCTCACTGACTCGAATAGCGCGGAGGACAGGTACCTCTCTCCGAAGCTGGGAAAAACGGCCTGCACCATATCCAAATGGAACCGTAACTCAGAAAACCAACCATGGATTCAGTTGCTCAAATGAGAAATAGATTAACAAAAATATGAAAATACATCAAGTTAAAAGCTATGCTATCATGTTTTCTTATTCACATCAAATCAGTTTCACCGATGATCCAGTATTTATAAACAAAGCTCCAACACAAATTCCACACACAACACCATTAGAAGAGACATTGGACTTCGGATATACCTGGATTTTGTTCACTAAATTATTTATTACCTTAGGAAAAATGAGCATGGTAATGGTACTATTGTACTTAGCAGAGGCAATCAACAATACAGATAACATGTAATAATCAATATATTTGGTTGCCTTTATTATACCCGATATAAGAAGAATCATAATCACTAACATATGTTTTTTGCTATGTACAAAAATAAAAGATCTAAAAATCAAAGTAAGCTCGTTCCATCTGTAAAGTCCATGTTGTCAAATGACGTCCAAGATATCACTGATTCCATGTTGTAAAAGCCAATGGAAACATCAGATTATACTACCTAAACCCCTTCTTTATTTTCGCATGTTATTGGTTGAAGTATGCGAAAAAAACGAATAATATGGAATCATGCAAGAATTTAATTTATAAGCACTATTAGTTTATTATAGTGATGGGCATTCAATAGAAATTCATTCTGTTGCGACATTATATCAATGAATCTGATTATAGGCAATAGGGTGAATTTCTATTAGATGTCTATGTCAAAGAAATAAATACATAAATTAAACTCGAAATGTAATCATAAACGTATGTACTTGTCTTACTTAAATAAACAAAATTAAACATATAAAATCACCAAATTTCCATATTTTGAAGGAGGGGAAAATCAATCCATCTGTTAGATCCTATTGCGGTCCAAGAGATTACCAGTTAATTTGATGGATATCATGCATAACGAATTCACAATTATACTAGAATTATGTTACTCGTCTAAAAACGTCCACAGAAATTTTAGGCATAAAAACTTACAACAATAAGCTTGCCAGCATTTTCTGGCCTTTTTGCTATCTTAATGGCCGCGGCAGCTGCAGCTCCAGAAGATATCCCCACCTACAACAATATCCAAAGTGGTTTAACCAGCTTATTTTTTACCAAATCCAAATATCCATTACAAAGTATGCTCAGCACAATATATATTAGGTGCTCACTCTCGGCTATTTCTATAGGTTTAGAACTTACAAATAGGCCTTCTTTAAGCGCAAGATTTTTTGCAGTGTCTATTGCTTCGTCACTTGATATCTGCCAATGAGACATATCTCAGGTTTGATGGAATATTAACTGTTGCAACTTTAAAAAAAAAAATACTGCAAAAAGACTAAATATTCAATAGCTTTCTAATACAATACAACACATCAATAACAATTAATTTTTTTTTGGTATAGATTAATTCAAATATGCATCTAAAAAATCATAATCATAATATTTATATGTCAAATCATAATCTTCTGTATTTGTTTTCGTAACCAAAATCAGCACCCAATCTTGAAAGATATCCGGTATAAGACTGTTAATCTGCATTTGATATGAAGATTAATTAACCAGGTTGGATATAAAACTGTAAACTGGTACACAAAACATTATATTGATAGTTTGTAGTTTTACCTACAATCTGGAACTTCATCCATAGTACCCAGAACTTGCCCAGGAAGATGAGAACCACCGTTCTTTAGGGCAAGTTTATGTCAGAAAATAATTAAAAGGTTGTCAAATTAAAATGACCAATGAATAGCATGAATATTCTCTGATTAAGTGAACATTGTATCAGTATTATCACATTAATGGAACAGGGAACTGCCAGATCAAATCCACATAAAATATAGGAGTAAGAATGCCAAGAAATTGTAAATAATAGGATATAAAAATTATATACATGGGTATTTCAGCTTTTTTATGTGCTTGACTCGACTGCTTATTTTAAAATTCAGCAGTTTTATGCTTGTTTTTGATAAGCAAATCCTATCTGCTACTGAAATAAGTGATTCTTATAAGAATTGCCTATTACATAAATACTTATTTTAAATTTGGTATTTCCAAACAACTTATTAAAATAACTATTTTTGTAACCATTAATATTTTTTAAGTATGATTACATTACATGATAACTTGAATAATTTAATTATTATCCACAAGTAATTACAACTTACTTGAACGACTTCATCAATGAGATTGACTTCCAAGACACCAGGGACAAAACCAGCACCAATCCCTTGAATCTTGTGTGGACCTGAACATTCACAATTCAAATTTGCAAATTAACCACAAATAGAGAATAAAGTTCTTTACTTCAGCCCTAAGGATTTATTCTTACATAAATTTGGGAAAACTATAGTAGTTAAGGCCTCGAGAACAAAACAAACAAGAAAAGACACATAGGAACTGATTTATAGTTTAATCGAAGTAATTTGAAGTTAATGAAAAGACAGCATAATCACAGAGACATCAACTTTACATGATTCTTGTTTAGTATGTGATTAGTCCAAACTCCAAGATCAATCTGGTCAGGACGTGAATAGTAGGTAATGAAATATCCCTTTTCGGATGGGACAAGTCTCTAGAGAATAACAGAATTGGAATGATTGTATCACCCCTTTTCTCCCTCTCCATTTCCATAATAATCAGTCTTAAATATTCTGCCTTAAATGGGCCCAAAGCAAATGAAATGGAAATAACTATTAAAATAACTAAATAATCAAGATAAATCTATTTAGTAACAAACTAGGTCATCCAATTTGGGGCGTTCCTGTTCCGTTTGGACTTGTTTGCTCCTTCAACAACACTTGGCCCAATAATTTCCTATTCGATTGGTGGTTCAGTATTAATACTCAGCCCGTCAAGAAGGACCTTGTCCTCGAGGTCCAGATCAGGATAAGTCTCCTTGAGTGATTGTAATGGCTCCCAAGTGGCTTCACTTTCAGATTGTGTTGTCCACTGATCTAGGACCTGTCATAGAGGAGAACCATTAGAGGTGACAGTGTGAAACCCGAGAAGTTTGGCTGGGGTGAGCAGCGGATGAGGACCCAGTGTCAAAGGAGGTAGAGGACACTACTCAAAAGGGGGATCTCCATGGCAGCGCTTGAGGACGGAGACGTGGAAGACAGGGTGGATCCTTGAGTCTGGAGGGAGTTGAAGCTCATAAGCGACCTTACCGAGTCGGCGGAGCACCCTAAAAGGCCCAAAGAAACGGCGAGCAAGCTTCTGAGAGGATCGCCGTTGAACAAAAACTTGGCGGTATGGTGTGAATTTGAGGTAAACCCAATCCCCTTCGAAGAAAACAATGTCTTGTTGGTGAACATCGGCTTGCTGCTTCATGCAGTGTTGGGCTCGAGCAAGATTGTCCTTCAACTGACGCAAGAGCTTTTGTCTATGAAGTAGGTGTTCTTCGACAGAAGCAATTGCAGTGGAGCCTGGAAGGAGATCTAACACCGGAGGTGGAGGGCGGCCATAGAGAGCTTGAAAAGGCGACATCTGAATCAAAGAATGGAAGCTTGTGTTATAGAAGAATTCGACTAAATGAAGAACTTTTGACCACAGATGGGGTTCTTCCGCCACAAAACAACGGAGATAAGTCTCCAAACAACGATTGAGGACTTCGGATTGACCGTTGGTTTGGGATGATAAGCAGTGTTGAACGCTAGCTGAGTGCCCAAGAGCCGAAAGGTCTCCTTCCAAAACTTGCTAACAAACACCCTATCTCTGATATTATTGTTTTCGGAGTACCATGAAGCTTGCATATTTCAGAGACAAACTTTGCTGCCAACAATGAAGCAGTATAGTGGGTAAGGGTAAGAAATGGGTGAACTTAGTGAACCGATCAATGATCACCCATATAGTAGTGAAACCCTTAGAGCTAGGCAAGTGAGTGATGAAGTCCATAGTAATGTTCTCCCACACCTGAGTAGGTGTAGGGAGTGGTTGGAGCAAGCCTGAGAGCTTAGCAGTAGAGTACTTTGATTGTTGGCAAGTATGACAGTTTCGGACATAGGCCTTGACATCTTTGTATAGACTAGCCCAGTGGAAGTGGAAGTCAAGCGTGCAACCGTGGCCTTAACGCCGGAGTGGCCAGCCACCGGAGTGTCATGAAACTCGGAAAGAAGTAGGTGTTGCAGATTGGACTCACGAGGGACATGAATGCGAGAATCAAAGTATAACAAACCATTCAAGTAGGTGAACTTGGCTCTGAACTTGTCATCATTGTGCCACCTTTCGACCAATTTATGGCCCTGTGTATCGTGTAAGTAAAACTTTCTTAACTAAGACAGCAAGTTAGGAGTAGCAGTAGAAATGGCGGAGAGGAAAAAGGATTCAGGCGCAGCACGATTGTCCACACCAGGTTTGTAGAATATTTCATAATCAAAGCCAAGTAGTTTAGTGAGCCATTTCTGTTGTTCAGGAGTTTGAATGGACTGTGTCAACAAATTTTTCAAGCTTTTCTGGTCTGTATAAATTTGAAATTTCCTTCCCAGTAAATAATGACGCCACTTCTTAACAGATTCAGTGATGGCGAACATTTCGCGGGCATATGCGGAGGCTGACTGCATCCGAGGGCACGGGCACATCTTCTTACTAAAGTAAGCAACAGGGTGAGATTTATGGGAAAGGACCGAGCCAATAGCAGTGGAGGAAGCATCACACTCCAAATCGAAAGGGATGGAGAAGTCTGGAAGCTGTAAAATTGGGGTAGTTGTCAACGCCTTTTGTAATTGTGAGAAGGCCTCATTGGCTTCAGTACTCCATAAAGATGTAGGGGATTTTAATATATCTGTAAGTGAACTTGCAATGGCTGCATAGTTACGAACAAATTTTCTGTAGTAACTTGAGAGGCCCAAGAAACCTCTCAAATCTGTCATGGATTTTGGTTTGGGCCATTCCAAAATTGCTTGGATTTTGGAAGAATCCACCTGAACACCAGCGCCTAAAATAATATGACCCAAGTAGGATATAGAAGTGACCCCAAACGCACACTTGGAATACTTCACAAAGAATTTTTGATCAAGCAATAATTGTAAAATCTGACACAAATAAGTCAAATGCGAATCTCAATCTGCTGAATATATTAATATGTCATCAAAAAATACCAACGCGAAACGCCGCAAAAATGGCCTAAGTAAGTCATTCATTGCAGCCTGGAAAATAGAGGGTGCATTGGACAGCCCAAAAGGCATAACAACAAATTCAAAATGTCCATCAACAGTGCAGAATGCTGTTTTAGAAATGTCCGCCGGAGCCACACGAATCTGGTTAAAACCAGAATGTAAATCCAAGCAAGTAAAATAATGTGCACCATGGAGCTCGTCAAGGAGCTCATCAACAGCAGGGATTGGATATCTATCGAGAATAGTGATAGCATTCAACGCCCTGTAATCCACACAAAACCGCCAGGAGCCATCTTTCTTCTTCACAAGAAGAACTAGCGACGAGTAGGGACTTGTGATGGGTTTAATCAACCCATTAGCCAACATTTCAGCAATCAACTTGGTCATGGTGGCGCGATGGCATTGAGGATACTGGTAGGGCCGAACATTAACAGGGGTTGAATTGGGCTTGACATGAATGTGATGATCATGGGGCCTGGTGGGAGGAAGCCTGTGAGGTTTGTCAAAGACCTCCTTATAAGAGGTGAGGATGGAAAAGAGTGTCAAGTCCATATGTGGAGGGGCTTCAAAAGGGACCGTATCTGCAGGAAGAGGGTGTGGTGTGGCATTAGAATCTGTGGGGGTAGCATGTGGCCCAATAGAAACGCTATAAAGTGCAACAACAGCATCAGTATCAAGCATACGAGTTAGTTGATGAAAAGAGGCTACACGAGAGGATTTGATGTCACTACCCATAAGAGTCACAGTTTCATTGTTAAGAGTGAAGGACATTTGCGGGACAGAATAATCAGTCAAAACAGGACCCAAAGTACCCAACCATTGTACACCAAGTACTATGTCAACCCCTTGTATTAGAAAGATATAAAGGGAAATAGTAAAAACTTGACCATTCAACAGTAATGGAACGTTCTCACAAACCCCAGAACAGTAAATAAATTGACCATTACCAACCATGACAGAAAAAGCAGGGGCTACAGAAATTGGCAAATTGAGAAACGTGGCAACTCTGGGCTGAATGATGTTGTGAGAACTACCAGAGTCCACTAAAACAGTGAACGAGTGGCCCTGGATACAGCCTGGGATGCGGAGGGTGCGTGGTGTGAGGTCCCCCAAGATGGCACAAGTAGAGAGCTGGAAATGGGTTAATTTCTCCCCCGGGAGAAGGATCAGTAGTAGGGGAAGGTGGGTCCCGATCTGGAGGTGGTGTAGGGTCCAATGTGTCAGTGTCGTCAGAGGTGGGTGGATCCTCTGGAAGCAAGAGAAGTAGGTGCTAGGGGCGACAATTGTAGCCAATGTGGTATTTGTCATTACAGTAAAAGCAGAGGCCCTTGGCTCGTTTCTCTTGGATTTCTGCTAGGGACAGCTTCTTCCACGGTAACAGTGGGGTAGTGGGGGTGGGTAATAAGGGCTTAGAAGGTGGTTGTTGGGGTAAAGGTGGGGGGTTATGTTGTCGGGGCATGTAATGAGGGAAGGCGCGGCGATCATCAATTTTGGATTCGACTAGTTTTGCTAGCCCAATAGCGTTGGAGATAGATTGGGGTTGATATATGGCGATCTCACGCTGAATTTCCGGTTTGAGGCCAGAAATGAAGCAATTGAGAATGGCTTCTGGTGGAAGATCGAAGACACGATTGGAGATATTCTCAAACTGCAGTTGATAATCGATGACAGATGTGGTTTGACGGAGCTTGAACAAGGTGGCTTGGTGGTTCTCGAACGAGGAGGGGCTAAAGCGAGTCTCCAAGGCTTGAGTGAAAGCGGTCCATGAGGTGAGTTGGTTGGTATGGATGAGCCACTTGAACCAAGTAAGAGCAACACCAGCCATGTAAATTGGAACCATCTCCAATCGGCATTCAACGTCAACGTGGTACATTTCGAAGCACTGCTCCGCTTGAAAAATCCATTCAAGCGGATCTGAGCCATCAAAGGTCTGGAGGTGAATATTTGGGGGACGAGGGGTATAGGTATTGTTGTGAGAAAATGGGTTATGGTGGGGAGGGGATGAATCTGATGAAGAGGATGGTGAACGGGTGGCTAGACGTTGTTGAAGGTCAGCAACAGCAGATGAGAGGTGGTCATGGCAAGCCTCCATGGTGAGTTGGAACTCAGTCATTTTGGCCACGAGCATGATGGTTTCAACACGAGAGACAAGGTCATCAACGTTGATTTGGTTCTTGGGAGGCATGGTAACGGAATGAAAGCACCAAAATGATACGTGAATAGTAGGTAATGAAATATCCCTTTTCGAGATGGGCAGGTCTCCTGAGAATAACAAAATTGGAATGATTGTATCACCCCTTTTCTCCCTCTCCATTTCCATAATAATCAGTCTTAAATATTCTACCTTAAGTGGGCCCAAAGCAAATGAAATGGAAATAACTATTAAAATAACTAAATAATCAAGATAAATCTATTTAGTAACAAACTCAGTCATCCAATTTGGGGCTTTCCTGTTCCTTTTGAACTTGTTTGCTCCTTCAACAACACTTGGCCCAATAATTTCCTCTTTGATTGGTGGTTCAGTATCATCAGGTGACCATGAATGGTGTTTAAGTTTAACAACAATCACGAGGAAAGATATAGTGAGTGTTGTATTATAAAGAAAACCTAGCAATAATCTTATTTCAATAACATGGTCTGGTTGAAGATCCAGTCTTTCATGGATGATAAGAAGGAAAGTGACATGAGAATAGTATTCAATAATGTCAGTCTATAGCATTTACATGGTAAAGTAATCATCATGACTTAAATAATCAAGTAGGCTTGGGTACATTATCAATAGATGCCATTGTAACCATAAACCAAAATTGTTATTCAAGTTAACCTGAGAAGAGAATGCCAAGAAAGGAAAATGTAGAAGCAGGAGG